CCTCCAGCCCCGGGCGATGCCGGCAGCGGTGCCGGAGCGAGAACAGCTGGGAATGCGAGTGGGGGTCGGAGTTTGCTGAGGTTCGGCCTCCCGGACAGGGAGAAGTCGGGGAAGGGGAGGAACGCAAAGCTCTGCCCCTGCCAGGGGAATTTTCAGGGTGGTGCCCATCCGGAAGGGCTGGGGGCCCCTCCCTGGGGACAGGCGCGTCTGGCATCACTGCTGGCATGTCAAGGAGGGGAGTCCGCTGAGCCTTGTCCCCCGGGGAATCCCACGCTGAAGCCACGAAATCGTCACAACCCTCCCTCCCTGTCTCTCTGAGTTACCACGGGGTGCCCTTCATGGTGGGGAGAGGAGGGTGGGTGTCACCCCTCCTTGTGCCAAAATTTGCTGTCACTTGGGGTGGGAGCAGAAAAATACAGGAGTCACTGGTTTATGAAAGCTCAACGTGAGGATCACAAGCTCTTTTTTCCTCCATTCACCAGACCTTGGTCCTGCAACATCAGCCCCAGTCAGGCCATGGAGGAAGTGGAACATGCCCACCAACGGGACAAGCTGATGGTCACCCACCCAGGACACCTGGCTGGCAGTCGCCCAGATCCCTCCTGCATCCCGTGTCAGGGCTGCCCCTGCTGAGGGATGCTGCTGCCCCTGCCAAGGGACACTGCTGTCCCCAGGTCCCTGGACCTCACACCCTCCCCTGCCCGGACAGCTGTTCCCTCTTGGGGTCAAACAGCCACCACATGTCACTGCTGAATCCCTCACATTCATGGGTCTTCCTCTGAACCCCCACCTGTCCTGCAGCTTGCTCCTGCCACAGTGTCCCACTCGAGGGAAAACAACCTCTTGTTGACAAACCAAGTTGCCCCTGCTCCTCCCTCGGTGACACATGTGGGGACAGCCTGGCCGGTGCCACCCTGCAGGGGATGGAGCAACCACGGATGCCCCTGGCATGGGGTCAGGGGGATCCAGAAGGGAAACCCCCCTGTGGGGTTCATTAGTGGGGGTCCTGCTGGGTGGATCTCTCCTCCAGCTGTAATCTGGGGCCAGGGACTGTGAAGGGGAAGGGTTATGTCCAGGCCATGGGGTTCCGGAACAAGGGAGGCCATGGAGGGGCAGAAACACAGAAGGTTTAGTGCTGCAGTGGGGCAGAGCATCCCCTGATCAGTGTGGGCAAGGAGGGAGGCCAGGACACCCAGTGTGGTCCAGTGTGGTCCCTGGACTGGGAACGAGCAGACTCATGGGTCAGGGTACCTGGTTTTGTCTCCAGATGGGGATCCTGGTGGGTCAGGGCACCCAGGGTGTTTGCAGCAGGTCACCCACTGAAATTCATAGACAGGGCCCAGTGGCTTGGCACTGTCTATGTTGGGGCAACCAGTATTGTCCCCAAACTGCGATCCAGTGGACTGAGGGCTACTTAGCCACCATCACCTCTCTGTAGGTTTGACCTGGGAGGGAGGTGAGGGATCGACGAAGACAGTTAATAACAAAAATTAAACTGCTCTCCAGACAGATTTTAGACTTCCATAATGATCCCTGATTTCCTAGAATTCTGGGGAGTGAGGGGCACCAAGGGTGCTGAGCCCCATGGGGACTCAAGAGCTGCAGGAGCAGCCCTGTCCCACCAGGGAACTGAAACTGGACGAGCTGGCACTTACGGGTGAGGGAGGGATTGTCTGCTGGTGCTGTCACCACTGCTGCCACCCCTGCCAGGACAGACAGCAGGACATCATCCCCCATTGCTCCCCATGGGCTGCACCCCAAACTAACCCCAAATCCCCAGAAGCATGAGATGTGGATGTGCAAAGCCTCGGGCTGAACGGGGAGGATCTGCCGAGCCTCATCACGGCCGAGCAGCTGTCGCCGTCCCAAATCTCCAGCGGGCAGGCACGTCGGAAATCCCGGGTGTCGGGGGAGAGGTCTGCTCCACATTCCTCGGCTGAGCGTGGGGACAGGGCCAAGCATCTCCCCGCAGCCTGCAGCTGCTCCCAAATATGTTACGACTTGTCACGGTGGCAGGAAGGGATGTCGATGAGCCTGGAAAGCAAGAGGGGATGTGGGACAGTGGGGTGCCTGGTGGGGTGCCCAGTGGGGGTGGGAGGGTGTGTCCAACAGAAAATCGTATTTTGGTATCTCCTTTCCCATGCTGAAATCACAGAGGGATATCTGCTGAGCCCTGGCTTTCCCCCTTTCTCCCCAACAGTGGGATGGTCCCAGCACCCCAGGTTGTAGTTGCTGCTTGGGGCATCCAAATCTCTTCACCAGCCTGCAAACCCAGGTATTTCTGCCCTTTCTGGTGGGGGCCGGCTGGCACCATCCCCACCATCGCTTCTCCAGCTTGGACACGGCGCAGCTCCAAGCCTCAGGCAGGGATGTGCAACCTGTGTGTTCCCTGCAACTCCGAGCAAGGAACAGGGACATACACTGGTTAAGGCTCTGTGCGCTGGGAGACACTGTCCCCAGGCTGCAACACGCTCACGTCTATCCCCAAAACTCAGCAAATCCAGACCATCAGACGTGGTGGGAAAGCCAAACAGCCGAGGCAGCCCCTGGGTGCCTCTCTGTGACCCGGCTCCGTGGACCTGGCCACCGGCTTGGGAAGCTGCCCTGGAGGAGCAAGGACAAACCCTCCTCGCTGGGATTTTCTCAATGGACGGGTATTTTTAGCTCTGGGCTCGTGGCTGCCCTCCCTGCCAGCTGTGTCGGGGTGAGCCGTCCCCGCGAGGCCCCGCCGGCCGGGGAAAGGTCACCCGTGACGGATCGCAGCACGTTCTGCCGGGGCTCACACAGCGTCACTTTGTGTTGCCTCCCAGCCGCCACCATCCATCACGGCATAACCTGACAGCCGGCAGCAGAGCCCTAATCCCCCCTCGGCTCCCAGTTACCCGGAGTGCAGCTTCGGCCGCCGTGGGCACCCATGGGACCAGGAAAAGCTACGCTCGCCCACCCCTCAGCAGGCGCCTTTGCGGGGTGGGGTGGCCGTGATGGGAGCCTCTCTGTAGCCCAGACACGAGCTGAAGGAGTAGCCTTGATGATGGCTTCTTACCCAATGGATTCATTATCCTTGATTTGATATTCACTGGGATGAGACCACTGGACCTACAGAACCCAGACCCCACCGTGTCCCTCCTCTGTGGTCAGGAGGGACCATCCATGGCATGGAGAGGCTGAAGGAGCTGCAGAGCTGGGTGGGCACAGCATTATTCCTGCTCCCACATCACTGGATGAGACCCCCAAATGGAGCGAGTGCAGCTGACAGTGGGATCCCTCTTCCCAGTGTCCACCCCACACTGGCACTGAGTGCCCTTTCCTCCCCATCTCCTTAAGCTGCCTTCTGTCTCCCCTGCCCACTCAGCCATGGGTACACAGTGACCTTGGCTGGGGCTGGCTTGTGCCGCTTCTCCATCTGGGGACGTGTGGCCGGCGCTGCCCCACCAGTGCTGCCCCTGTTTATGAAACGCTCTCCTGTGTGGGTCAGCCACGTGCCCCGGAGTGGTTATGTCACCACTGTGTCTCACCCTCCAAACATGCTCCTGCAGTTCCAAAATGCCCAGTTATACCAGGGGGGTCCTGACACCTCTCACCCAGGGACATGGCTGCAGCTCCAGAGGCTCACTGGGGTCGTGTTCACCAAGTGCCGCTGATAAAGGTCCCCATGAGTGACTCAAGCTGATTGAGTTGATGGTGTGGGGCTGATGTGAAGACCTCAGGCTCAGGTTATCCATTCCTAAAGCCTTCACTCCTGCCATGGGCACCTCTGCATATCTGAGGGATGAATCCTGACTCTTCCCAACCCTTTTAGTGCTTTTTCTATAGGCAAGAGATAAGCTGATGCTCTGATTTCTTTCCTTCTTAAGTATTTTGGAGTTTGACTGACTGTGGGGAGCACAGGAGCTGTGCCGAGGGTGAACCTCAAGACTGCAGGTCCTGCTTTCCTTAGTGCAGACTTTCATAGATGTCTGGGGACCATGGGGACAGCAAATCCACAGAGCTGGGACCCTGGGACAGTAGGAATTGGGGTGAGCAGCTGTTGGAAAGCTCCTGGCCGCAAAGAAATCACAACAAGGAGAGAAGAGCATCATGACAGATTCCAGCAAGGCCAGAAATCAATCCCAAGTGAGTAAGGGTACTGATAGTGGGCACAGGGAATGTGCCACAGCACAGCCTCTCCAAGGAGGGGGAATTTGGAGAAGGAAAATCCCAGCAGGGTTGGCCCTGCACTTTGCTGACATTCTTTCCACTGACCGATCCCTCAGCTGGAATCTGGCCTGGAGCAGGAATAGGAGGAGATGGGAGATGGTTTGTGATGTTCCAGATGGAAAAAAAATCCCCTCTGAATTAAAGACAAAGCTGGAGAGATGTAGCCAAGCCATTGGAATCAGTAGGGAAGGGATGGGGATGAGTTAAAATCACTCTCATGCTGCTGCTGCTGGGTGTGCCTCAGTTTCCCTATCAGGAATGCATGAGCAATGCGTCTTTTCTGGGAGAGGTGTGCACCAGGATGGCATCTGGGGCTTTGGTTATCCACAGGTACACAGGCCGAATTACATTCCACCTGCACAAGAGAGCAGGTGGGACAAGGCAGTGCCAGCTGGGAGAGAGTTGAGCCCAGCCTGGCTCTGCTGGAACCTGGAGACATGTGGGGGAAGGTGTCCTTTGGGTTTGGGGCATGGGACTAGCCACAAAGGTGGATTTTGTGACACGAGTGTGATAAGGAACTTGACTGGGCGCCCGCGGCAGAGGAAAGGTTGGGCTTTGGCTCTGTCCTGCCTGCTCTGTTCCTGAGGGACAGGCAGCAGGCACAACAGCTGGGACTGGGGCGGGTGAGCATGGAGAGGGATGTCCACAGAGATGGGACCGGAGCCCAGGGTGCTCCCTGCATTGGAATATCCCTTCCAGGGATGGATTCCAAGGCTTTCCCGAGGAGTGGGATCAGCGTAACATGGACCGGCAGGATGGGACCATGGGGAATATGGGGCAGAGCGGGATCGAGAGGCGGGAAGGGCTGCAAAGGGGACGATGCTGTGCTGGTGTTGAGTCCCACCAAAGGGGAGGCACGGATTTGGGATACTGCAGGTCCAGGGGGGGCAGCGTGAAGGGATGGGAGTGCTCAGGTCTGGCAGACTGGCCAAGAGAACACCACGGCTCCCCCAGTCCAGCTGTAACTGAAGGGACCAGATGACGCAGGAATGCCGGGGGGAGCTGGCAGCCGCCCGCCGTCCCCAGTGGCACCTCGGGGCTCACACAAAGCCCTTGTTTGGCCCAGCCGAGCTGCCAGCCCCCAGCCCCGCCAGGCCGGGCACTGTAATCCCCGTGGGGAGAGCACATAGAATCAGACGGACAAGTTTTGATGTGAGGCAGCAGCTTAGGGTGGGCTCAGGTTTCCTTTGGGTTTTCTATATTTATCGCCGTGATTTAATGCCAGCACTGGGGTTTAAATGGCACCACGCAGTTGGTGCGGGGAGAAGGAGCAGCCGTCCCCGAGCCGCGCACACGTCCCCGAGCCGCCCATGGAGCTCTTTGAGACCAACCCGTATTTCTTCCCGGAGCAGAGGTTTTATGATGGGGAAAACTTCCTGGGCTCCCGCCTGCAGGGCTACGAGGCCGCGGCGTGCCCCGAGCGCGCCGAGGCCGCGCTGTGCGCCGAGGGCAGGGCGGCTCTGCAGGCCAGGGAGGCGCTGGCCGAGCACTGTCCCGGGCAGTGCCTGCCCTGGGCCTGCAAGGTGTGCAAGAGGAAATCGGTGTCCATGGACCGGCGGCGCGCGGCCACGCTGCGGGAGAAGCGGCGGCTGAAGAAGGTGAACGAGGCGTTCGAGGCTCTGAAGCGCAGCACCCTCCTGAACCCCAACCAGCGGCTGCCCAAGGTGGAGATCCTGCGCAGCGCCATCCAGTACATCGAGCGGCTGCAGAGCCTGCTCAGCTCCCTCAACCAGCAGGAGCGGGAGCAGCGGGAGCTGCGCCTCCGGCCCCAGCCCGCCGTGAGTGTCCCCGGGGGTCCCCAGCCGGGGCTGGGAGCAGCTGTGGGTGGTGGCCACCGAGGGGTGATGCATATGGGGGTGATGGTCTATTGGGTGATGCCATTTCGGGGTGACACGCCATGGGACAAGGGCCATATGGGACTGATGCTCTGTGGGGACAATGCCCTATGAAGGTGACTTTCTGTGGGGTGGTACTCTATGGGACCATGCTCTATAGGGGGATGCCATTTAGGAGTGATGCTGTATGGGGGTGATGCCTGATGTGGGGTTATTTTGGGGTGCCATTCTATGGCAGAGATGCTCTATGGGGACAATGCCCTATGGAAGTTATGCCCTATGGGAGTGACACTCTATGAGGTTGATGCCATATGAGAATGATGTTCTGTGGGGGTGATGTCATTTTGGGGTGTCCATTCTACACGGGCAATGTGCTATGGGATGATGCTTGAAGGGGTTGATGCCATTTCAGGGTTAAGGCCTGTGGGGGTGATGCCATAGGGGAGTGATTCTCTGTGGGGACACTGCTCTATGGGGGTGATGCCCTGTGGGGGTAATCCCAAGCACAGGCGCTGCAGAAGCTCTGGGGCACTGGGTCCTGCTGGGGGGAAACAGGACCCCAGCTCTGGAGAAAGGCAGACACTGCCATCCTGGGACACTGGGGGATGTGTGAGTGTGTCCTGCACGGGGACACAGAGACAATGATCCAGCCCTGCCGAGTGCTCGCAGCCCTGCGGGAAAGAGGCCACTGCCACTGTCCCTGTGAATGGCTGCACTGGGGCACTGCATGTGAGCGACACGAGGGCCTGGGCTGAGGAGGGGTGGGAATGGTGAAAATGAAGTAAACAGCGCAGAACTAAACTAAATGAAAATATAACATAACATAACCCATTCAATTAATAACATTTAATACTAAATATAAAAATAGAAATACAAATATGAAATACAAAAATTATAAAGCATAAAATAAAAAATAAATTAACACTCCCTGTTCACACCCAGGCAGAGGAAAGGATGAGAAGGATGGCACAGGGACACCTCTGGTTTCTAGGACCAAAGGGGCCAATTTGGGCATTGGCTGAGGATAGTCAGAAGTTGTGTCTTGCCACCACCCCCAGAGAACCAGGACCTGTCACTCTACAAGAGTTTGGTCATTTAACCAAGTTTTTGAGAGGTATTTTCATCTGCCCCCTGGTTCCTGTGGACGGCTGTATATGTGCTTCCCTGCTGCTCTGAGGTTTGGATCTGTGCATGCACAGAGAGCTGAAACTACAGCTACAGGTCGAGGGAGAGATGATCGGTGCAGATGGAATAGATAGATGTGGGGGTATGTACTGGTATAGGCATTGATGATATGGGTTCTATAGATCTAGAGCTTATATAGATCAATTAGAGATGAAACTGATATGGATATGATAGCTATAGAGATAGATACAAATTATAGAGATAGATTATATAAATATGTATAGGTAATATAGACAGTGATAAAGATGATATAAATTATCTATAAATATATAATATATAAATGGCATACAGATATATCTATAGATACAGATTATGGAGATATATATAATGTAGATATGGATTATATAGATACAGAAATAGGTAATGTAGATATGGATATAAATATGACATACAGATATATGGAGATATACATAGATAGATAGATAGATATCCATATAGATATAGATGCAGGTAGATACCGATACAGATACAGATAGATACAGATACAGATACAGATACAGATACAGATACAGATAGATATGGAAGGACTTTAATCAAAGGCCCAGTAGAGGGAATTCCACATCTCCTTCCATACTAAGGGATTTAAAGGCCAGACCAGTAGGTATCCAGGTAGTCCAATTTAATGCTGAATAAAGGAGTGAAAAAGTATTTAGGCTCCACCCTACATATTTGTGGGACTTCTCAGTATCCACTTTAATGCCAAAATCCACTTGGATACCAGAATCCAATATCCACTTCCCAGAATCCACTTGGATTTGCAAATATGCCCAAAATTGTGCTGAGCTATCCCTTTGTCACTTCTGTTCTGAGCTGCCCCTTCTCCCAGGTGTAGCCAGGGGTTCACATATTGATGCAAAAGCCAATATTTTGGGGGAAAAAGATTGCATCTGTAAGAATTTCCTGCTTTAATGGGAAATAAGTCCAAGTGTTAATTAATTATCCTATGCTGCCATGAACTTGTAGAGAAAAAAAGTGTCATTCTAATATGGTACAAAGAGTTGGGCCTGTGGGGTTGCTCATATAAATCACATTTGGGGTTTTACCTGAGCTGACACCCACTCCCAGATAAAGATACACACGAAAAAAAGTGAATTCTGAGCTGTGCTGAATAATGCTCTCACTTTTCATGCTGTCAGCTCTTTTCTCCAAAACCACTCAGCCCCAAATCCACAAACCAAACTGCCAAAAGCTTTTCCCAATCCCCCTCTCAGGACGGCCTGAGGGCATCCAGCCCATGTATCATTTTTTATGAGTCTGATTAGGTGATTCTCAGTAAAAAGGTGTTTGCCCAAGGACATCTGCTCATCTCCAGCCCTTTTTCATAATCAGTGGGGAAAGAGACACCTTTTTACCTGCAGTGAGTGGGGAGCGCCATTTCTCTGTGGCCAGTGTTCCAAAAAAGCGAGGTTTTCCAGCCTTTATGGTTAAGGAAGCATCTGGCCCTGATGGGTCCTAGGGACCCTGCATGCTGTTGGCTTCTCCAGGTGGGGACAGACATGCCCCCCTCCACAGGGGTGTCATGCTGTGGGATGGGCCCCCCGGGTGTTTTTGGGGATGCTGGTGGGGTTGGGCTGTGCTACAGGAGGTGACAGACGGTTGCTCTGGGCTCCTGCAGGCAGCCAGCGACTGCGGGTCCGGCAGCTCCTCCTGCAGCCCCGAGTGGAGCAGCCAGCTGGAGTTCGGCACCAACCCTGCAGGTAACGCCCTCCTCACCTCCCTGGGGCATCCCACGGCCTCGCTGGGCTCCGCAGGGAGCGGGAACAGCGGGAACAGCGCTGGCCTGGAGCAGAGCATCACTGAGCCAACCCCCTCCCAAGGCAGGAGACACTTGGAGCAAAGGGCAGAAGGAACCTTGCCCTTCTCTCCCCATCCCACTGATGCAGAGTGATGAGCTCAGACATCCTGCAGCATCTCCCTGGCTCAATTCCCAGCAATTCAGGGTTCTCCAAGCCCTGATTTCACCAAAATACCAACGCTTGGGAGCTGAGAAATTGGGCTGCAGCAGTCCGAGGCCTTGGTGCCTTCATCCCCAGCAAGGGTTTCATCTGTTGCCATCCCTTGGCTTGGCATGCTTGGTTCGACACGGCTGGGCATAGCTGGGCATGGCTGGCCAGGGCTGCCCTAGCCCCCCTTCCTTCCCTACACCCCCTCAGCAGCTGCTGATCTTTTTTCCCATGCTTGCCATCATCCCCGCCCCTGCCAAATCCACCTGTTATTTTCCCCAGAAGGCATAAACTAAATCTCATTTTCCAGTGGAGATTAAAACCTATAAAGGATCCAAAAGTTCCACTCCCTGTTGCTCTCTCATCCTTGCCCAGGGTGGGGGCTGGCAGCAGGTCCCTAGGCCATGTAGAGGATCATGGGGTCATAGAATCATAGAAAAGAATCAACAAATTGTTATGGATGCAAAAGATCATGAAGTCCAACCCTCAGCCATGGTCACCACTAGCCTACATCCCGCTGAGCAGAACCAGGAGCCATCTCCAGCACACAATCCCCATTCCCAGCAGTGTCCTCATACCTTGCTCCCACAGATCCCATTTCCAGCCGTGTCCTCACCCCTCTGTCTCCCCAGATCACCTCCTGGCCGACGAGGCAGCCGAGGAGCACAACCTGCACTCGCTGTCCTCCATCGTGGAGAGCATTGCCGCAGAAGATGTGGCTGTGACTTTCCCGGAGGAGCGGGGTCACAACTGAGCTGAAGCAAACCCCGGCGGCTCCTTGAAATGGTAACAGGGTGGGAATGAGATGCCGAAGGGTCCAGCCGCTGGAAATCACATCCACCCCTCCAGTGTTGTGGGCTGCACGGCTGACACCGCTCGGCTCCCTTCCCATTCCTTGTGGAGCGCTCCTGCCGGGCTGCAAGAAGAACAGGCAGAGGTGGGATGGGGCAGCGGCCACAGGTCCTGGAGGGGCTTCCCAGGGCCAGGCCCTGCTCCACTGCCCAGCCAGGGACGGGCAGGTTCAGGGCCAATGTGTATGCTGGGTTCGCTTTGCTGAGTTTTCCAGATGCTCCTTGACCAAGGTCTCTCTCCAGACGGTGTCCGGTGGTGCTGACCTGCAGCCCACCTGTCTTTTCTACTGAACGCTGTGTGCAGTTGCCATTTAAGTTTTTTTAATTATTATTTTTGCTAACTTATTTGGATTCTTTTTTAAATAAAGGCATTCTTGTTTGGACAGCTTGGGGTTTCCTTTACTGTTGTCCTTCCCTGTGTAAGTCTCCCCAGTTCCACAACCCCCAAATCCAGATTGGAGATTTTCATATCAGTAAATCCACCTGGACCTCAGCACATTCACTCAGCTGGGAACTGGATGTGCCACACTTCAATTAGCCCTACACTGACCAGTATTTCACTGGTGTTTAACTGGGGTTCAGCCTTGCACCCCAAAGATCTTGAGGGAACTAGAGATTAATGACATTTTTTTTTTGGGCTCTACAAAGAAGGGTCAAAGCCAGCACTGTTTTAAAATCCTGTTTATTGGAACACACATACATCCTTTCCTGACCCGATCCAGGGTTTGGAGTCCATGCAGTACCAGTAATATGACGAAAGAAATAGGGCATTGATATAAAGGGCTCACTGACTCTTCAAATTAAAAAAATATTTAGTACTGTATTAGGCAAATGATACACCGAAAAGACGTTGTGACTGTAGAGTCTCTCAGATATTGCACTTCCAGACAGCACATGATAAGTATAAGGTCATTCCAGCCATCAATAAATATCACATCAGAAATAGGGGCCACACAAGGCAAACGTGGCATGAGGAGACAAAGAGATCCTACCCTATGGAAGAAATGGGAAGAGTTAAGAGCCTCCTGGATTGACCCCTGCCAGGAGGCAGGAGGGGAGAGCATCTCCTCTGCACCCAGAGAGGAAGGGTGGGCACATCCCAGGGGTGGAATGGGCTCCCGTTGTCTCCCCAGGCACCCAAGGAGGGTCCCCTCTCCTGTGGGTGCCAGACACCATCCCCATGAGCCATGTGGGGCGGTCCCAGGCACAGCCCCCCTGAACAGGGCACCTGACAGCACCAAAATCAGCACCTGGCCCACCCAGCCCTGGGCAGACACCGCCCTCCTCACCTCATGCTGTGCCCCCTTCATCCCACCCAGCACCAGCCCTGGCACTGCCCCGGCCCCGCCAAGGGCAGCTCCTTGCCCAGCCACCCTGAAGGGAGGATTTTCATGAGCCTGAATCTTCCTTGGCTTCAAGTTCTGTGGGCAGCAGCATCCCTGATGGCCAGGGCTCAGGCGAGTGAGTGCAGCCCCGTGGCAGATTGGCAACATGAACCAGGCAGGAGAGAGGCTTCCAAACATCGCAGACACTTTGGGGTTGTCTGTGCTGCTCCCCAGACTGCACAATGCCAGGACAGCATCCGGAGCACATCCATGGCCCAGCCAGCACAGGAGAAGTGGGGGACGGGCCACGGCAGGAGCCACAGGAGCCGGGGGAAGCAGGGAGTGCATGAGCAGGAGGGACAGATCTTGTCAGTCCATAGCAGTGACAGTCTGTGGGTCAGGGCCGAGGAACAGGCACAGGCTGGGCTCTTGTCCTGGAAGGCAGCCAGCACGTGGCGTACCGACATTGGGGATTTGCTGAGGAGCAAAGTGGGAAAGGCCCTGTGAGGATGCTGGCTCAGCTCCACCCGTGCACCCACTGGCCAACAAACCCAGATGGAATCAGCACTGGATCCTCCTGGCATAGGGCAATCATGGCCCAAGGCACAGCAGGAAGCCTCCCTGAAGTGCCTGACTATCCTTCCCTCGCTCAAGTGGGAATGGCATCCTGGGGTCCCCAGTGGGGCTGTCCAAGAGTGAACAAACCACATGTGGTGGGATGCTGAGCATCCCTCCTGCATCATCTCTGTGGGCCTGGGGCAGCAGCTGCTCCCCCACCACTGTGGTCTCCCTGGTCACCATGGCCAGGCAAACCTTGGTGAGGGCAGCCCCCTGCCTGGGTGCTGCTGGGGCTCCTGCTCTGCCCTTGGTCCCCAGCCAGCTCCAGGGCCTCGCACTCACCCAGGGCCTGGCTCCCATCTCGCTGATCCTCAGCATGAGTACGTCCGGACCGTGGAGGTCTCCAGCCTTGGGGAGCCAGAGGCACTGACTGGAAAGGAACCAAAGAGCAAAGCAATTAGTAACTGCTCCAATTAGCCCCCAGCTTCCCCAGATCCTGTGTTTATTGAGCAACAACTGTGCACTGCAGCTACGTGAAGAAGAGGGTCAGAAGAAGAGCCATGTTTGACCAGCTCAGATGCTCCTGCGGCTCCAGGGTATTTGGGAAATTGCCACTTGCCATCCCCACTGCTGGGCAGCGAGCACCCTGCTCCCCGTCTGCATGGGATTCTGTCCCAGGTTTCACTGTCTTCAGCCAGGTGGGAACTGCAGCTTCCAGGGATGGGGTGGAAAAGGTCAAACAGAAGTTTGACCCAAAGTGCTGGATGCAAAGCTGGGACATCTGAGCAAAATTGGAGGCAGGAGAAAAGCTGAGACTGAGGTTTGGAGTTGGAAGATAAGTACATAGTTTTTAAATTCTCATTCCCACCCTCATTTCTGAGCCTGCTGAAGCCAGCTTTGCTCCAGTGGGAGCAGCCTTGGGATAGTGGGACCAGGGTGCCTGGTCCAGGGGACAAATCAGGGTGATTTGGCTGGAGCTTCTGCCTCCCTACAGCTTTGGAGGGGATCAAGACACCTTGAAGAAAGGAGTTGTGTGGTGGGGGCAGATCCTGGGACATAAACCAGGACAGCCAGCAGCACGGGCAGGCAGGGTGTCCCAGAAGGTCCTGCCAGCCCTGGGAGAGCTCAGGCAAATGGAGCCTGTTAATACATCCCTTTGGGGGTGGTTCCCAAAAGTCAGAATGGAGCAAACTGGGCTGCAGCATCCTGGCAGCCCCTGGGTGACATATGCCACCTCATGCCCCAATCCTGGTCCCTAACTGGTTCTTGCAGTTCATAACCAAGAGCTCACACACAGATCTGAAGTAATACTTCCAGAAAAAACATTTCCAGCAGGCCACAGTTCCAGGATCATATGGATTGAGCATCTTGGATAACTAGCAAGCCTCTCCCTCTCCCTCTCCCTCTCCCTCTCCCTCTCCCTCTCCCTCTCCCTCTCCCTCTCCCCCTTCTCCTTCCTCTTGCTTCTTCTTCTTCTTCTTCTCCCTCTCCCCCATCCCTTTCCTTTCCTGGTAGCACATCCTTCCCCACATTCCCTAAGACTCTGAGCAGGAGCAGGAGAGGACCCTTTGGAGAAGGGCTGACCCACCTTCCGGGGGCATTTTCTTGGCTGGAGCAGCTGGAGGGGGCAGTGGCACGAGGCTGGTGACACGGAAGCCGGCGGGAAGGGTCTCAGCAGAGCCGCTGAGGAGGTTGATGCTGTGCACGTCCCGTGGGCGGAAGCGCTTGCGCCAGGACGGCGTCCGACGGAAGGTTTTGTCATCGCCCTGCAAGGAGCAGCGTGTGACGGGCCCAGGGTCAGTGCCAGCAGCACCTCCTGGCCCTGTGAGACACCAGCTAACAAGGGCATGCCTGTCCTTGGTGACCAGCTCTAGAAAAGCATGGGATCAAACTCGGCCAAGGACACAGGACATCTTGCTGGGATCCCATGGCATTGGCTTTATCCTTTCCAGCTCATCTGCCTCTTCTCTACAGCAGCCTGTAGAGAACAGACAGATCATCTTTGCAGCCTGCCTGCAAAGATGCCTTGGAGACACCAACACAAAAGTCCCAGTAAAGACTCCAAGGGATGCTGGACTCATGGCAGAGCTCCAGCCCTCAGAGCACTTCCTCTGAAATTGCTTCAGCAGCTCCATGTCCTTCTGATATTGGAGCTCGGGGCTGGAGGCAGCTCTGCAGGTGGGCTCTCACCTGAGCACAGGGGCAGAATCCCCCCTGCCCTGCTGCCCACGCTGGGGGATCAGCCCAGCACAGGGGGGGTTCTGGGCTGCCCGAGCACGGGGCCGGGGCACGTTGAGCTTCTCATCCACCAACACCCCCGTTCCTTCCCCAGTCACACAGGACATGAAGAGGTTTGGCACTCACATCATCCAGCCTCCGGTCTGTGCCCAAGGCGAGCAGGTTGTTGAACTCCCTCTCCAGCACTTGTCGAGCCTGCAATTAACAAAAAATTTATGATCCCTCATCAATGGGGAATGTGCTTCCAGCCCAAAATTTCATTCTAGGAAAGCCTGAGCGTGACAGAAAGAGCCCCCATGCCATAGAAAAGCTCTGCTTTTAAAGATAGAGCTGAGTTGGTGCCACAGGTGTGGTCACACCACAGCCTTGTCCCACACTGGCCCACTCTCCTCCAAAATTCCCCAAGGATGCTGCTCCTACCTGGGTGTTCTGGGTGGGGATCTGCAGCACAAGGGCCAGGCTGTTGTGGTCAAAGTTTTCATCAAGGGCCAGCAGGGCCCCGTGCACACCACTCTCCACCAGGTTGTTCCCGTACTCGCGCAGCCCGATGGACTGGATCCAGTGAATGACCTGGTCATTGGTCCACACCAACACATCTGCACGACAGCAAGGGCACGGCTCAGGGCCACCTCACACCACACTCATGGCTCTGAGAAGGTCTGGGGATGTCCTGAGGCCCTTTCCCTTTGCTCCAGATGAACCTGGGACTCTCCTTCCCAAGCCAGCAGCAAAACTGGGAGCTCAAGTGCCAAAACCAGCTCAGTTCAATTTACCAATCTCAAAGCTGAAATAACAGGCAGAAAACAACCGTGAAAATTAATCCTAAGAACCGACGGCTGCTGATGTAATTAGGAGCATTATCAATAATGAGATGTAATCCAAGCAGCAGCCAGATGCTCAGGGAATCTCATGACAGTGATGAGGAAGGGGAGGCTGAGCAAGCTGGGGATGTCCTGAGTAGTGAAATGGACAGAGAAGATCATGGGATGCTCAGGCTGCAACTTTGCCTTCCCCTCCTCCCTCCTCACGCCTGCCTGGGGTCAGCTGATAAAGGCACTTGGAGCAGCAGAAAGGTGCCTCAGGAAAACAGCACTGGGGGCTCAGAAATAATGGGTTAAAAATAAGAGATAGAAGAGACCACCCCTGGATATCTCCTGGGAGGCTTCTCTCCTGTTCTAGAGCTGGACAGGGGGTGCTGACCTTTGATTTCATGCTGGGTCTCCTCTCGCCTCCTCTCGAGCTCTTTGCGGTCGTAGTTGAG